ATAAAAAAGAATTCATTCTTCAATCAGTATTCGTTAATTATTAAATTACTTACTAATTTCTCAAAAATTGTTCGGCTTTTCCACTACGTTCACGCAGAAATTCACATTTCACTTAAAAAGAAATGGCACTTGATGGATTTGCAGAAAATAATCTGGCTCCAACAACTTACAATATCAGTATGTAACACATAAATATTTCTAATCGTAAGTAGGTGAAGGCAACAGCAATTATTTTATTAATATGTACATTTCAGGATACCGCTTTATACATATATATATGTATGTATACATCAACTAATAATGCATACCCCTTAACTGACTTGATTCATTGTTGATTGTAATTAGATTATTGAGGGACGACATGGAAAATATGCATAATAGCTTCATTTTCATTTTTTTGATGTTGAAAAGATAAGTTCTTCTATAATAAGGTATTACAGAGATTTAAAAAATTATAAACTTTATTTTCTTCTAATTTTACATTTCACTAGACAGGTACACATATGGTGTTTTAATTTTTATAAAATCATTGATATTATTCATTTTTCTGTTCTCATTTTGTCATTGAAACAGGGATCAATAATATGGATCCTTCATAATATCAGGATTGTTGGTCAGGTTTCTGGCACAAGAAGAGATGTACTTACGATTACTTATATATGTACAATACTTAATGAATAGGGACTCAACCTCAAGAACTCGAATCTTTTAGCCTGAAAATTTCACAAAAATGTATTTATCATATGTTTGAAAAAAAGATATGGTTGACACCCTGAGAGGGCCTAGCAAACTCACTAAGTTCCTTGAAAATGTCAATGGGAAACTTTCGGATTTATTTTTTTTTTTCAAAACTATTTCATGATACGTTACATGCACCACAAAACAATTCTCTCATCTGCGCCATGTTTTTTAGACTCCTCCCATTTAACAGATCCCAATACGCACGTTTACGTTTCATGTACAATTAAAATAAACTTCCCATAAAAATAATTTATTTAAATGATTATGTAATGTTAATGTCCACTTTGTCCATTTGTAATATTACTTAATATAAATCAGTACAGCATGTACTTAATATAAATAAAAACCGTTCAACGCTTTGAATAAAAATAAATTCCTACTATGAAACAATAAGAACTTTGTCAGTTATTCTAAATGTTTATCAGGTTCTTTGTCAATTACTCTAAAGAACCTTTTCAATCCTCTAAATTATTGTGCACCGTATCTAGGAAAATGACAGGTCATTTATTTAAATGTGTCATTTATACGGTAGGTACAATAGTTATATCCAATAATAGGTTAATGTAACTCGTGTAAGTAAAAGTGCGTACTTTTATTCAGATGGGTAGAAGAAGGTCTGTTTCAATATCAGCAAAAGAAGAAACATAAAATGGTAGTTTAAACGAGAAAATAAATGGTAAAGCTCGATTATTCGATTGTATTATCAAATACTCGATATTAGACAGTCAATAACCAAAAATTAGATACTGTAAAATAAATAAATCCGATGGTCACTCACATCAACTAATTGCACGTTATTGTTACGCTATTTTACTTTTCAGAAAATAGTAAAATTTATTATACCCTTTTTGAATAGAATTCTCCTTTGAATGTTTTGAAGCACATCATCTACATCTAAACATTTTATGCACAAAAAGCGAATTTCTGTCACTTAGGTAAAAAATAAAAGGAAAACAAAAGTAGCTTTTTAATATGCCGCTAAAACGTTTATGTTTAACAGATTTTTAATCCGCTAAGGTCACGACTACGATTTTAAAATGTTTATAAAATTTTTAGAAAAATAAAGGTTGATTGAAAATGTTATTATAATAACAACATAAGTTTTTACCGTCACAATTTGCAATTAAATAAAAGATTGCGGAATACCCCCCGCTTTGACATGAATATTCAACACTAGTCATTATTGCTCAGTACGTATAATATTATGGTATGAAAATATATGTAGATGCAGATAATGAGCTACATAATTACCTAGTCGTTGTTTTGTGAGTAGGTGCCTAAATAAGTACATATATATCTGAATAAATTTCACCTAATATCTTAATTTCAAATTAACCACTCAACGACTGCTGTATTTACAATTAATTAAATTACGTACGATTGAATGTAATTTCAATTTTTACTGCTGCACTGGCATGGCTATTTAATAACATACACATTACACAAACGTGACGTATTGTGTGTAATAAAAATTGTTGTAATTGCAACAAAATTGCAAATTAACTTTATAAACTGCAGTATTCAAGTTATTATACGAAATTAAATACTCTTTGTTTACATTAAAACTATTAAAGAACAGAGAATTTTGAAAAATATGATACAAGTTTTCGTAGAAATAAAATATTGGTGTTAAAACAAATAATTTCAATTTTTCATTAAAATTAATGATAAATGGGAAATATTTTCTTCGTTTTCATCACTAGTGTCCGAAATTCTTGAACAAATGATAATTATACTGTTTCAAGTGAATAAGCAATAAAACTGCCACTAATTCACCGTCCTTGCCTAAGCTTAGCAGGAATTACCTACTTATTATGGCACCAAGCATGTTTTCTTGCACTCTTTGGGCCTTCAAAGCTCAAAATACATAGTCTGAAAGCTTAGAAAGAATAATTCAATATAATTGCAGCCTGCTTGAAAACATCACGAAGACAGAACCTCTGTATCACTATTTTTCTGATTCTAGAGTAAATTTCGCATCATAATGTTTATTGTTTTGGTAAACTTGTATGCTGAATTGAGTGGTTAATTGCGGTTCCATTCATGTATCATAATCTATTTTCTCTGTTATTTGGTTCTGTGTGGTATCCATCATATTTTGGATATTCCTATAAGCCTAATTGACATAACTATAAATAGGGTTAACCAACATAGCTATGACAAGATGCTCTACAGGGATATTCAAAACACAAACTTAAACATCCAAAGCAGATGAGCGTGCATGGAACCACAGTTTACCACTGTCGAAAAGCTACAGCGTCTAAATTCTACATAGTACATATACTAAGAGGTGGGTCGGGTACTCGGGTACCGACAGATCTTCCACATATTTTCGGGCCGGGTACCAGATAACAACGACGAGTAATTCTACCAAAGAAAGAAACAAACCAACACCACCAATAATAATTTAATAAATATGGCAAAATACCTACCTAATTAAAAATGGGTAATTAAGATTGTATTGAGTGAGACAGGTCGTTTGTCCTAATTTTTATTATTTATTGATTATTTTATATTAAATTATTTGTTATTTTGATATAATTATTGTGTTTATTTTTTTTTGCAAGTCCGCTAAAACGAAGACATGAACCATTAACCGTAGTGGGTTTGCCGGGTACCCGGTTATCCGATCCTCGGTAAAATTACTATCCGTCGTTTTTATAATATATACTATAGATTTGTCAAAACTTTAAAAATTATTTTAATAGCTCTTACAAAAATGTTGTCAAAGCTACGAAAAGACCGTTCTTAAGATTCTCAATTTTTTTTTTGAAAACAGAAGTTATAGTAGACCTTGTGGAAACTTTATCTGAAAATTGTATTTATCCAAAAGTAAATACTAAACTCCAATGAGGAGTTCAATGGAGACCTCGAATATTTTAATATTTCAGTGAATACTATAACAAATTGACTTCAAGTGCATCCTTGAGTCAATCCATTACTATTAATTATTGCACAAGTCGAATGACTACAAACTTCTAGACTAACTATTCTATAAATCCATGTCTTTTATTGAGAATTCCGACCATAAGAATGAAAAATCGCGAGTAGGTAATTTATAAATTTTATAATTTTCATACACGTTCATATTTCAAAGTTTCTCAACTTTTGTCGTGCACCCCAAGTTTTATTTTAATTTCGTAATATAATATAGATAAGTAATTTACAAGAGGTTTTCCGAGATTTCACTGCTAGAGGTAACAAAGTAGGTAACTTTGCGCAACTTATTTCAAATAAAGTCATGCGAATGAAAGTTTCCTCTTTACTATCTAATGTTTCCCTGGTATTATGAGACGAAAGGGGCAGCTTTTATTATTGGCAAAATTAATATAATTATAGTAATTTACTCACTCAAGCGTGTTAGAGAGATCGTAGTACGTGTGTTGATAATGAGGTGGCATAGTTTGTTGCTGTTGCTGTTGTGGTAAATGAACTTTAGCTTCGTCTAACGATAAACAATTTTGTTCATCTTCAGGCACCTGAAGGAGTCGCGAATACGGTAGTTCCTGTACCGAAAAATTTCGAGCTACCATGCTACTACAAAACCATGGACTCTCCCGTCCCGATGGTCACAGTAGCACTGAAGTGATAGGTAAAAAAACGCGACTGACACGAACAGGTAGTATAAAGAGTTGTGTACAGGTGCAACAAGGCGATGATAATAATCTAATAAGCGCACTAATGATGGCAAACGACGGTAACAATGGATCGCTTCTTCCCGCCAAAGTGTTTATATTCAATTGTCCGCGGGAGGAGTGACTAAACAAATGGCGCGCATGTACTCAGCCGTTCCTGAATTGCACAGGCTGGCGTTTAACATTAATGGGTAAACCGAAGTCATCCAACAAACCAATCCCGACAAAGCTCATTGTTTTCAGTGGCGTGGCGAACAATTGAAAGAATTAAGACATTAGTTAGTTCTCTCATCAAAGATATCGTTGACCGCGGTCAGGTGTGTTACTTATACACGAGGGCCGTTTTCTTTAACCTCCAATTCGCCATAAATAAAAGTCAAATGAATTCCTAAAAAAAGCTCTTCTATTCCTTGTATTTACCAAATCCTTCTTAATATTTAGTGCTTTGCAACTCTAAGGGATGGAAAATTTTTAAATTATAAATAAATAAATAGTTAGGGATGTGGGCTGTTCTAGTTTTAGGGAAATGCGAAGTTTAGCTCAGGATAGGAAAGAGTGAAGGTACGTGTCCAACCAGTCTTAGGACTGACGACCTTATGATGATGATGATGATGAAATAAGTACCTGTTTTATTTATTACCATAAGTTGTGTTCACTTCTGGTGTAGTCTTCTTGAAGATTGAGGCATTTGTCTAGTAGACAAGCTTTCCAATTCCTTCTTCATCAAATGTTGCCACCAATGAATTAAAGATTCTTGACGTTTGGAAACGCTTCCTTCCTGTCTGCTTCTTCAGTTCAGGGAAAAGATGGAAGAGCAACTCGGCGCAATGTTGGGATTGTAAAATGTCCCATTGAAATTATTCAAAGAATCGTTGGGTTGCAGCAGCACTATGAGAAGAAGTATTGTCATGAATCAGAAGAATTTCAGAAGTCAGTTTGTTTCTTTTTTTGGTTTTCAATGATCCTCTGAACTTATGCCGAGCGACTTCCAACTTTTCTCTGCCTTTCCAAATTAACAAGAATTGTCTAGAAAACGTCATCATTGGACTAAAATTCATGCCTCAATCGTCAGGATAATTATGTGGAATATAAGCGCTACAATTTCTACCAATTTCGGTACACAATAATAACTTCGTATCTACAAATTCAATATACTGAACAGCTTCTAATTTTATGCAAAGCCTTTTAAAATCAGGAAACAGATGCATCAGCAAATATAATTGAACAAAATTCCAATTTACATAGACAATAAATTTCAAATTCCACCTTGAAGAAAAATCATTCGTTAATAGGGATAACAGAACTGAAATATACGCACTCAATACATGATAGGGGAGATAGGAGATAAGTTTGCGTAAGGACTTAGTTGACATATAGTTCCAATTACTCGGAGATACACCATTCACTATAATTTCAGTCCGCTTGGAAACATCACGAAGGCAGAACCCCTATATCACTGTTTTCTTGACTGGCGAGTTTTGAGTACAGCATACTTTTTTTTGTTCTGGTAAAGTAAAACAAAAATACTGGTATACAAGGAAAAAAAAAGTAGGGAAAGAGCGAATATAATAATAGGAGACGTTGCTGATTTAAGGTATCTAGGAAGTCAGATAAGTCATGACGGAAGGAGTAATAGGGATATAAAGCAGAGGATAGCGCAGGATCGAGTCGCTTTCAATAAAAAGAAGTCACTTTTACGCTCACGAACGATTAATCTAGAAATTTGAAAAAAAATTGTTAAAGGTGTATGTTTGAAGCGCGGCGCTCTATAGGAACGAAACATGGACAGTGGGCGCGGCGGGAAAAAAAGGTTAGAAGCGTTCGAAATGTGGTGTTGCAAGGGAATAATGAGGATACCGAGGATAGAGAAGGTTAGAAATGAAGAGGTATTAGAAACAATTAGGAGAACACAGGATTCTATGGAAGTCAATAAAAAATAGGCGAGATAGGTTGGTAGGACACCTTCTCAGGCATGAAGGTCTAGTCAGAGACATATTAGAGCCAGAAACAGGAGTTAAGAGGAATAGATTAGATTACTGTTCGCAAATAGTTAAGGATGTGGGTTTATAGTCTTAAGGAAATGCGAAGATTAGGATAGGAAAGAGTGGAGGAGCATGTCCAACGAGTCTTAGGACTGACGACCTTAAGATGATGATGAACCTGTATTGAAGCGCTGCTCATAGCGGTTTTCGAAAGAGTGGTAACCGTGGTTCCTTGTATGTATCATAAATTTCTGACATTTGGTTTTGTGTGGTTCTCATGCATCATATTTTGAATATTCCTATGGAGCTACTTGGCATAGTTAAAAATGGGAAAAAAAACGGCCCTACAGGGATATCCAAAACAGAATCCTAAACATCAGAAACAGAAGAACATGCATGAAACCACAGTTAGCTACTCTTTCGGAAACTACCATCAACAGTTCCCCAAGTAAATCTATAAATTTATCAGAACAAAAATGATGTAGAAATTTACTGATCGGTCAAAAAAAAAAAAATGAAACACGGGTAGGTACCTTATTTCTTCTTCCACGTATTATTATTATTCAATACGGTACGACAAAAGTAAAATTGTGGAAAAATTAAACCATCCTTTCTAAGAAAACTCCTTACAGACATTATTGAACTTTAATTTCACAAAACAATTCTTAGTCATAAAGGAATAATTAGAGACATACTAAAAGCAGAAACGGGAGTTAAGAGGAATAGAGATAGATCTAGATTAGATTACTGTTCACAAATAGTTAAAGATGTGGGATGTTCTAGTTTTAGGGAAATGCGAAGAACCAATCTTAAGACTAACGACCTTATAATGATGATAATGAATAGAAATTTCTGAATTGCAGCAAGTAGGTTGATCGGTGTTCTGTAGGAATTTTCTACGGTGTGCTGATGATAGCCAGATAGAAAAACTTGACCAAGAAAAAAACTTAAACTACTTTGATCAATCGTAATTCTCACTTCGGTTCGGCTCGTGCAATCTATCTTATCTATTCTATTTCAAAAATAAAGAACAGTTCTTTTTTTGCTTGCACGTTCTTGCACACCACTGTTTCTCTGTAGGTACTTACAGTTATATGTTATTATATAAAAATTGTCCTTCGCGCTTTTTCTATTACTTAATAATAATACAACTGCATGGTATTTGTTCCATACAAGTTTTTATGCTTCGACGCATTAATTATCTCTTCTGATACGCCCTAAAGAAACAAAGAAAGGTTTCCTTGTACATTTTCCTCGCACATTTCTCGCATATTTCAATTATTAAAACGGGAGTTCCGATAACATAGTAATAAAAAAAATATATAAAATGCAGCATGTCTGAATATTTTTTTTTTCTAGTTAACCATTAATCACGCTTACTGCTAATTGCAATCAACTAATTGATATTTGATCGTAACATTTTTTTAATTGTAAAGTTAAGATGCAGTTATCCAGTTTCTTAAGGCTTGCTCTTAATGAGATAGTAATGAAGTAATGGCTGATAATTTTTAATGAGAGGGAAAAAGTGTTTCTAACTCCACAACTCGGTATTTGTATGCATACAAGTAGAGGAATTTTCTGATTCTGAGGAATGATCAAAAACTGATAAAAATTATTGCGAAAAACATCATTCGGAATACAGGCTATTTATCGCCATCTAGTGGGTATTCGCTGCTACTGAATTATTTCGTGACGAACAATTTGACTTGCCAATTATACGTCAAAAAGAGCATTGTTTTGATAGATTTGGCATATTTGATGTGAGTTATGATTAGTAGCAAATGAGTGATTTGACTTTGAAATCGCCTCTTTTTATCACCCCCTCTATTATTAAGGTATGAGACTAATTGTTGGTTACTTATCGACCAAGATATGTAGGCATGTATACGTTATAGACATATTATGCCAAGGAAATATTTAAAATACCATTTGAAAAAATATTGGCTTATTACAAATTAATGTGAAACATTGTTAACGTTTTATCAAGTTGTGGTGGAATATAAAAAAAATGCCCATTCGTATGTTAAGCAGGATTTGTTACGTAGCTAAATACTATGTAAATTTGAATACGTAAATAGCATTAACATATTGTGTACAAAGAATTGTCAAACTATTTGAACATGATGAGAGTCTGAATAAAATTTATGCACTTAACCAAACCAAGCAAGATTAATGACTAGAGATGACGTTTACCACGCTGTTTGTAGTAATCTGGTAAAATCTTAGTAGTTTTCGATAAGAAAATGGATTTTAAACGATTCTAAAGAAAGTTTGATAATATGTTTTCTGAATCCTAATCCAAAATCCCAATGCCCAGAGGTTCCAAATATTTGGAGTTTCTGACTTATGGCCTTCCAAACTTACCTACAACCCAACTACAATTCTGATGCAAGTTTTCGTAATAAGCTGTGTTGTAGTGGTACTAGAAAGAAGGAAGAAATTAGAAATTATGGATGTCGTATCTAGGAAGTCAGATAACTCAGGATGGAAGAATCAGTAGAGATATAAAACAAAAGATAGCGCAGGGTCGAATCACCTTCAATAAAAAGAAGTCACTTCTATGCTCACGAACGGTTAATTTAGAGATTCTGAAAATATTGTTAAAGGTGTACGTCTGGAGCGCGGTGCTATATGGGTGCGAAACATGGACGGTGGTCCAGGCGGAAAAGAAAATGTTAGAAGCGTTCGAAATGTAGTGTTACAGGCGAATGACGAGGATACCGTGGATAGAGAAGGTTAGAAATGAAGAGGTATTAGGAAGAATTAGTCAATAAAAAATAGGCGAGATAGGTTGGTAGGACACCTTCTCAGGCATGAAGGTCTAGTCAGAGACATATTAGAGGCAGAAACAGGAGTTAAGTGGGATAATGGTAGACCTAGATTAGATTACTGTTTGCAAATAGTTAAGAATGTGGGATGTTCTAGCTTTAGGAATGTGAAGATTATCTCGGAACAGGAAAAAGTGGAGGTGCGTGTCCAACCAGTCTTAAGAGTGATGACCTTACTATGATTATGGATGTATCTTAACTCTTGAACCTCCTAATTTAATCTAAACGCTGGGGGTCCGATCACTTTTGTCAAATAAAATAAAATAAATGAAATAATTAAATTCGGATTTCCTAAATATTATCTAAAAGGGAGTAGGACGATGTTTAGATAGGTCAAGAATTAGTCAGAACTTCAGAATCAAATCCAGTGCTTTAAAGACTTCACTACACCCAATTAGAGATTTTTCGAAGTTATGCCCATTGAGACTTTTGATCGGTATGGTTCAAAGAATATTTTCTCAAAGACTCATTACAATTACATTTGTACTAAATGTCAGAGAATCTTCGTGGTCAAAAAAGTATATGCTTACATTTACGTTAGTTTAGTTGTATAAAAGTCTGAATGTGGTAGAGTGCAACATTGCAACGACTATTAGAATATCAAGTTTGACACTGACATCATCTTTGTAGTTGTTATTATTATCATTATGAAATAGCGATTAATTGTGATAATAGCACTTTAAACAACTGGGTTGAAATTCACCTTGAAATACCGGTTCTATATAATAGTAATATATAATTATAATTACCAATTTGAAATGCAATTGCGGCAGAAATGTGTATTAATTGGCTAAGCAATTCCAACGTAGTCGTCGAATTTACCACAACTTTTGTTGTTGAGCCGATGTATAGAAATTAAATGCGAAACGTTGCACGTGCTGCATTTGCTTACACACATTGACCCCTCCGGGGGTCATTTCGTGAAAGATCGCAAAGTAAACAAATAATATTTTAACAAGAATACGCACATTCGGTGATATTAATTAATTTAATTGAAGTTTCTTGCAACCACAGAAAGCAGGGATCTGTGCAAGTGTTTGCAAACATTTTTTTTTTCTAAATTGTTTGCTCTTGTTATTGAAAACTTTTTTTTTATGAAAATATTACTGTAAAAAAATTCATCTTTTGGACATTTGTACAGTGCGTTGACGCTGGGATGACTTCTACTTATGGAGCAGATCAAATGGTTTTTCCATCTTTCCATGACGTTGTTGATTTGATGTTTTCGCCGTTATGGTTCTACGTACTCTTATCTATATATGGTCATTTTTACCAATTGATTTACAAAGTAGTAATCAGAAAATTCTTCCAATTTTTGTAGCTGCGGAACATCTTCCACTATAATAAGCCACTCGTTTTCTAGTTCTTCTAAAGCAAAGATAGATAGTTGCGGGCCACTTCGAAAGCAAATCATAATTCCGCGGGCCGCATATAAAATTGCATGTCTTCGTATTAGATTTACAGCCACCGTTGACTTTTTTTAACTCATAACTGTAAACTTATTAATAAAACAGGTAATATTTGTCATATATTCGGAAGAATATTGTTTAAAATCAAAGTTATTTCTTTCTTATAATTTCGACAGTTAATTTTTAACAATATAATTGCACAAATAATGCATTCTTGGATGAGGCTATTCGCCGGATTCGTACGGATGACTAAGAAACTATTCATCGGTACTTAACCGGTATCTA